TTTGTAAATTGATAAACATAAACAATTACAATATATATTTTAGAAAGCATTCTTACTTTACCATATTTTTTTCACACCTGCCTAAAACTTTTGCACAGTACTGTAATTGATTTGATTAATTAAGATATTGTTTATCAGACCAAGAAAAAGTTTTATGCACATGCAAGCCCTTTCATATGCCCAGCTTCAGTGCTGACATCAGTTTATTAAACCAATTTCTCATAACCTGGTTTGGTATGATTTCCAAAGGGTCCTTGAGTATGTTTCTCAGGACATCATAGGAAATGTTGGCTGAATAAAACCATTGTAACATCTCTGAAGCTAGAAATATTATGGGATGTACACAGACACAAGGCTTGTTTTGGCCTGATAAACCACAACTTGTACAACCAGGACTGTTACTTCTGAATATTGTCAATGTGTTACTTAATACAGAATTCAGCTTCCTGAAAACCATTCTGCTTTTTAAAGGAGTTTCTACTCCTTACAGTAGTTAAGAAGTCTCAGAAGAGTTCTAAAACACCATTTCCAATAGTTGGAAAATCAATCTTAAGTGTCCCACATAACCTCTTGCCCTGAATAAGTAGAATTAGGATAGGTTAAGAAACGAAGATTAAAAATTGTGTATGTAAATAAAATACAAGTTATGTATAATCTCTACCTCTTGCAAAATAAATTTAGTCAAATTATTGTGGCACAAAATTCTGAATAATTTCATTCCCACTGATGTGAAAACAACTTATCTGAATACCTGTAAGATGTCCTGAATATGGACTATTGCACTCTACAGCATATGCTTGTACCAGTTGGTAACAAACTACAAGGAATCAGCATATTACTTACTTCTTGGCTTGTTTTTTGGCCTGCCTTCATGTAGAAGATGAAAACAGTATCAAAAGGACGACATGGTAGCAAGTCCAGATAACCAATATCATCAAAAAACCCAGGCAGAGAAGAATCAAGTGCAATCAGGTGAGGAGGTAGTCTGCTATTAGCAGGTTCCTAGCCAAAAAAGTGCAGATGTTAATGCTAAATAACCCCAAAAAATAATTATGAAGAATTAAGATAAACTACTTCAGCTTGTTAATGAGTAACTACTGTATTAGTGTATGAAAACAAAATCCAAAAGCCACACACTGCAATATTTTTATCAGAATCAACTGAAATGGCACAAAAAAAGTTTATTAACTGTTAAGTTCTCCATAACGTTTCATTAGCAAGATTTTACAAAAAGCAGGGAATGGGGGAAAAAGTTCCAGATCAAGAATAAGCAATCTACATCAATCAAGAGACTACTCGCTCCCGTTTTGGAGCCCCAAAGATGCCTACAGTAAAATTCAATGTCACTAATTTCAGTAGTATAATTTTTTTGTGTAAAAATAAATCCTAAAAAGATGTTTCAAAGTTCTAATAGGTTTTTGTTGTTGTTGTTTAGTCGTTAAGTCGTGTCCGACTCTTCGTGACCCCATGAACCATATTGCGCCAGGCCTTCCT